GGGGTGCTGCCTAACTTTGCAGTCCTGTTTATCGTCCACTTGAGAGCTGATTTTGAACCTTTGTCTTGAGATAAGAGGGTTTTGTTCTGCTTCATCTGGGACCACATGAATGCAGGGGCTCAGTCGGGTCTGGGGGCTGGGAAAGGAAGGAGAGACCACAGAACACTCCCTATCCCCTTGTCAGAAGTCACTTCAGTCGGCAAAGAATGGGGGGTGAGTGGGTTGTAGGCAAATTGCACAGCTCTTTGTCAGTGAATCCCTGGACAATGCTCGATGGTTGAGCTGAGCCTCAGGGCAGTGCCAGGTCGGGTGGGCTAGTTGGCTACTGGCACAGCCGGGCTGCCAGGTTTCTCTGTCCAGTGCTTCCACGGGCATCGGATCCCCATGGAGGCAGGACATCTGGTATCTTTATGATCATCCTGCTTCACTGATGGTGTCGCTGGGACTCTGAAATGACCAACTTGTCCCTGCGTGGGCAAGTTATCGGGACATCAGCCCTAGCACCTCAATTCTCCAAGACCCAACCATCTGTCTGGAGCCATAGGCCTGATCTAGTCCTTAAGATCAGTTTCCTTTGCCTCTTTGAGCTTTTTTTCCCCAGTTTTCCCAATCTGTAAAATGGGGACAAAAACAGAACTTATGGCAGGGAGTGGTGTGAGGCTGAGACTGGGTAAAAGAAAGTGACTCACCTGCTGGGCATGCAGTGACGAATAAATGATACTGGTGTTTACTCCGGGGTCCCAGCCCACCTTGACAATCACAGCTCCTTCGCCACCCACTCTCCCTCTGTCCACTCCAACCATGCGCCCCCAGCTCTTGCCCAGACCCCCCTCAGCAGACCAGACTCCACCCTGCAGACACCCCCTGGCTTGAGGCTCCTGCTCCTCTGACTCTTGACCTCCCATTTTCCAGAATGGGCATGCTCTCTCTTCACCCTCTCTGCCTCAGATGGACGGTTCACTCCCTTCCCTGGGTCCCTTCAGAGCAGACCTTGGAACTGCAGGACTTGGAACAGGGAGAGGGGACTGCTTCCTCAGGCCCATGCCTAGTTTTACCCTCAGGGAAACTGAGACCCAGAGGCCACGAGGTGCAGTGCAGGGCCAACACTGGGGGTAGCAAAGGGGCTGGGACCAGGTCTCCACCCCTTGGGCCTCCCCAGACCAGCGTTTGCAGCGCATGGCCTGCCAGCGTGCTCCGTGTCCCTACTCTGCGCCTGCGGTTGTGGTCCTCAGCCAGCCTTGGCCCTCTCCCCTCCTTCTAGCCCGGGATTCCTCGGCCCCCTCCACCTTCCCCCAGCTGCAGCCCGCCCATCCTCAGGAGATGACCTCAGCTCCGTCTTCACCTAGAAAACAGTCTGTCTGGAGGGAACTCCCTCAACTTCCTGCCCCGGCCTGGCTCCAGGCTTATCTGCCTCCCCACCCATCCTCCCAGGGTCCCTGCCGGCTTCAGAGGGACGTCCACCCGCGGCTGATGAGGGCCGCGGGCAGCTGGGCTCTGAGCCCGTCCCTCCCTCACCCACCACTTCACTCTTACATTTATTCTCCCCGACTGCTGCTTTTGGACTCTCCAGCTCCACTTCAGTTCTTACCCTCAGGCTGCAAACACGGTCTGTAACTCTTGTTTTTTTAGGAAAAAGAAAAATCAAACAACCCACCCCCTCCATCTATGTCGTGTCCCCCTATCTAGCCATGTCCTTTCTCAGTCGAACCTCTCCGCAGGCCAGTTTGTAATCGTGGTCTCTGCTTCCTCCCCTCTCAGACGGTCCTCACCTGACGGAGGCCTGGCTCACCCCCCAACCCCCCCGCCATCGGGTCTGTTCTCACTCCAGGGCCACCAAGACCCCCTGGTGCCAAATGCAAGGGACACATTAGGCCCTTGGCTCACTGGACCCTTTGCTGCCTCGGACTGTGGGTCACGCCCCGAAGCCTCCTTCCTTGACCTTCTAGATCCTCTTCCCGGGTTTTTCTCCTCCCTCTTCCCAGGGAGACTTTAACTTCCCCTGGACCCGAACCCTGGTCTCTGCAGGCTCCTGAGCGTATCCTCTCTGGGGCCCAACACCCCTCTCTACGCCTCCACGTGCCCCCTCCCCAGAGCCACATCCCCCCACCCAAATCCAGCCCTGGCCTCTGCCCCGAGCCT